TTGGCGTCGAGAGCGTAGACGGGGCGTCGTTCGCAGTCGAGTCGCGCGCCAAAGGCGGTGATCGTGTTCGTGCTGCCAAGCAACGGGAACAACGTTCCAACAAGTAAACCGCTTAATTCCCTAATACATAAACAAGCTATGAATTGAATATATTTTAGAATAGTTTACACAGCCATACGGGGGGGGGAATCTCCAGGTCACCACAAACCCTTTCCTGTTAGCGTTTTTAAGTACACGTTTTGATATGATTTAAAGTATTGTACAAAAGTAACACTGTTTGTTGGCTGGAACTTCAGAAAAGATATTAATCCTTACTATTCTGTTACCTTTTTAGCGAATCCATCATTAGCGTCATTAGTACACGTTAGCTGAGGGTGAGAAACACACTTGAGCTAATGTGCCGCAATATAATAAGTCAAAAAGCCGCTCACCAGGAAATATTTCACCTTCTAGCTCGTATCCAGCAAATGCTGTTTCCATGAGTTCATCAATATCGAAGTGACAGCGGGCAACCTTGTCTCACACAGCTGGTGATACTGAACAGTGGCGACAGTTTGTCATAAACCTTCACTCTGCTTTGATAATGTTTACACAGCTTTTCTCAGCAGGCAGTCCCAAAGGGCATATCGATCCACCGAATCTAAGGCACCTTTGATGTCAAGAAACACGACAACAGTGGGTCGCCAATAAAAATGGAGGTGCTCCAACAATTGACGCAAGGTGAAGATGCGGTCCACGCAGCCCAAACTCGACGAAACCTCGCTTGCTCTTCACGGATCTAGCTTCCATGAATGCCAGTGTGGAGAAGGACAGGCGCAAGCAATGTAGAGGCAACTGAGATCAGACGGATCCCTCTATGATTGCCGCATTCCGAACGGGAGCCTCCCTTGAAATTTGTGACAATGACGGAGCGGCTCGAGTCTGTCAGGACAGTCTCCGGCTCCCAAAGTTTCACTAGAAACTCGTGGAAATCATTTACTAGAGCAGGTTCTCCGATTGTGAAGAGAGCTGGGGGGGATTTCATCTGCCCCTGCGGCTTTATGCAATTTCAACAGCCTGATCTCACGTTCGACTTTTTCGCGTGAGGGCGGATCCAAGGAGACGGCCCAGGGAGAAGGGCGCTCAATGCACGAAAAAGCAGGCGAGAGGTTGATTAAATTGCCTTGCAAAGTGTACGGCCCAACGCTCCAAGGGTTTCGACAGGTTGTGGATCGGCTGTCCACTCTGGTCGCGTATTGTCTCGCTAACATCAGGTTTGCTGCTGCCTGTTTCCCGTATCAGACGGATAACTTACGATGATTACCAACGGCAGCGGCTGTTTCTATTTGGAAAGAACGATGAGACCACTAAGCTTCGCGGTCTTTCTTCAGGCTAGCACGTAGTTTTGCCCTGAGATTTTTACGGGTCTCATTGTATTCGCTTCCAGCCGGAATATCTCGACGAGCATCCATAAGTTCCAGAGACTGTGTAGAGATCTAATGTCCAGTTTGGCAATTTGATTTGCCACATGAAGACATGCCTGCTGATAATAAGGTTTGACGAATATGCGACCAGTGATCTTCGACAGTGTTCAGTGGACACTTACTCAGCCCGGATGTCAGCGTACTTTGATATCCATTCATAACACCTGGAGAAGCCAGGTGGATTGTGTCAATCTGTTCACATCGATGTTGCAGAGGTCCACCGTAACGAACCCGGAGGTCGGCGCAAGCAAATGTGTGATCAGAGTCCACGTTCGTGCTCTAAATCGAGTGACAGTTTTGGACACAGCTTCTCCAGCGGTAACTGATCGCGATATGACCGATTTGCGTCCATGCTGGTGTGAGGCGAGTGGGTGCCCAGTCACGCTTCTGCGGGTGCTGTGTCGAAAGTTCGTGCTCAGGTGAAAGAGAAGAACATTTTCACACAGTTGTAGCAATCGCTCACCATTATCATTACGGGAGCCTACACCATGTTGGCCGCCCAGATGAAGCTCATCAGAGGACAATTTTCCGACTTGGGCATTTAGACTACCAGCAAGCACTACAGCATTAGTGCTTCTTCTGAACAATGAACAATGAATTTATACGGGTTAAGAAGCGTTGCTTTACAAGCCCCGTTGGATAGTTGGTGGGGATATCAACATAACAATTATGATGAAAAGGATAGTAAAATAGTTAACACTTTAGATACGAAAATAAGGACTTATCGTTTGCTTCGCTGCAGTCCTGCGATCCACTTAGATTCACAACACCCACAGTTAACAACAAATAATTCCAGGGTAAACTCCAGGTGTAGGATGGAAACATAGTGTTAAGTAACAAAGTGTAAGTGGATGAGTGCATCGTCCAACCGTCTTTTAAATATTGTTAGTGTCGGTGCAGAGATGACCGATTCTGGAAGAGCATTCCACGGGTGACAGACACGGATGGAAAAGAAATTTCTGCGGCACTGCAGACGACTGTATTGTTCTGCGAGTTTTAATGAGTGGCCCCTCAGGTTTGTATTGCTGCTGAGTTGCAGTAAAGGGCGGCACACATGATGTGGGTCTCGCATAATCAAGTATGTCATAATCAGGTCGCCTCGTAGCCTGCGATAGCTTCCACTGAACAATCCTAGTCGTCGCAGCCTCTCCTGGTAGGACAGATTGCGCATTCCAGTTACGTTCTTAGATGCCCGGCGTTGAGGCTGCTCCAGTGCGTTAAGGTCGTGTTTCAGCCATGGATGCCAGGCTTGAATTGCGTATTCGACGTGGGGGCGAACATACGAAGAAGATCGTGAAGTTGCTGATAGAAACCATCTTTCACCGAATCAATGCTACAGTTTGTAGGGGCGTTGGCCGCAATGACAAACAGGCACCGTTTATTCCCGCGCAACTTCGTAGCATGGAACGAACCAGCTAATCTAACGGCACACATCCGACAGTTGACTGGGATCCAATCGATCGCAGCAGCTTCAGCCCGGGGACTCAAAACAATGCCGACGCCAACTTGACCGGCATTTTAAGCTGCATCATCGCCAGACAGGCGCAATGAGAATGTGCCACCAGTGTTGCATGTGGGGGGTCGCAGGGTAAGCACGGAGCTCGAATACTGCAGGCAGAGTTTTGATAAACAGCAAATATCGAGCGATAGGGTCTCTAGTGTGCGGAAAGTGCTGCTTGTTGGCCAATCTGTAGCAAAGTGCGCAAGTTGAGGCATGCCAGTTGCAGCGAAGCGCGAGGACTACAAAGGGAAACGAATGAATCGACGTTGTCCAGTTGGTTGAACATGTTGACTTGTCGACTGGATTGGAGCGACGCCCTGCAACTGCGTGTGAATTGAAACTAGAAGACAAGCGACTATTGAAGCAAGGTGGGGGAGGGAAAAATTGGGGGATTGAAGATGGGGGGTAAAAAAAGAAGAAGGGACGATAAGAATGAAAAAGCGCAAGAAAAGAGATAAGAAGGCGGGGAGGCCTGAGCAGTAGCATTCAAACCACTATCTACCCTGCTCGAGGCAGCAGATAGGGCGCCGTTGATTATCCCCGGCGACGGTCAGAGCATCAGTAATTTCTTTGAGGAAAGGTTCATTGTATTGCGTGGGCGGAATACTGTCAGGTTTCCCAGGCCTAGACAGGAGAACGATTAGGGTTCTCAACCAAAGCCTTTGGTACAAAAACCTGACCGCAAGGCAGTGGGTTTGGCTACAAGAAGTCAATTTTAAGGAATAAGGAGCCACTCTCACTCCCACCCCCAACCTGGAGGGCCAGGAGACTGAGTTTGTCTGGCCTCTAACCATTGACCAATCTGGTATGAGTGGTTTTGGAGGTGCAAAAGCACCACTCAGCATAGCTCAATGGATCACTGAGGCACACGAACTATCGCACCACGTTAAGGTCCAGTCTCGCGCGATGGGTCTTAATTAAATAAATGCTTAAATCGTAATTTAAGTGTCTTTAATAGAAGGACGCCGGCAGAAATGGATTAATACGCAGGCTATTTTTAATAAAGGTTGAAGACAACCATACAACATGTGAACGCACCCACATTAACTAAGAGGGCTCACGAAGTGAAACGGCTTCTGACTACTCAGGTCGGTTCAGAAGGTCTCACTCACACCGAAGATAGCTCATGGGATCCATGATCAGCGTGGTGTCGCGGCACCGGGTATGTCCTCATGTGGATCAGCTATTCGTGATTAGTACAAAACTGGACTTAGTTAGAACTCGCAAGGTTCCTTGATTGTCAATCCACGTGAAGGTGTTAGATTAGATGGAAATGCACAATGCGAGTGGTGCCAAGTTGGATTGTGGGGTGGAGCTTCAGCCCACGTGTGAAAATGTGCCCACAGAAAGCCGACCTTATGAGAAGTAAACAGTTCGTGAGTGGGCTGTATTCGCGTTTCAAGATTTAAGCACCACTGAAACTGCATTGGTGGAAAGTTGTGATGACATAGCATAAAAGGGAGAAGTCAACTGAAATAAGACATATTGGAAAAGAAATGGGCGTGGCACTTTAAAATATTGGTCGTATAGTAACTGTGAATGAAAGAATATTGGAAACATGATTATGCGACGTAAAAAGCACAGTCAAAACGTAAGTGCAAGCGTCCTTGATCACATTCGAAGGGGTTCCAAAAGACCGGTCGTTCCGTTGCGAAGCACAAAGCGAAACAATAAAAGATGAACAAAAGAACTAACGAACGCAAAGAAAAAAGTATAATTCGTTGTTGGATTCGCAGATGGAGGGATGACGATTGGCTGTACACAATAACACCACGTGGTATGACGAAGCAAAGGATGCAGAGACTTCGAGTATGAACGTTGTGGACTGTGGATCCGATACTGTATGATACCAAAGCGTCCGTGTGTGCGCGTAAAGCGAAGATTTTCACGCTATCTGCATAAGCAGGCGATCGGAAAGAACCACACAGTGTTTTGGAGGGTGTAACGGAAAGGTCGATGAAAAAACGGTTGCCAAATGCAATATGAGTGCGGTGAAATGAGAGTAGATAGATGATCAAATGCAGGGGAAGGTAAAGCTACATGGCATCTTGCAGAAAACCGCTAAAGTTTGTCTTTAACTGAATGACTGGGCGACCAATAGACAGACCCGTTGCCTCTGAGGAACTGACCGCATACGGAATATGGCCGTCTTGGAGGGCAGCGGACGATTTAATCGCCAGTTGTAGTCTAGATTTATGATCACCTAGAGCGTTAAACACGGAACGGAAGTCAGTCGGGTAGAGGGGCGCTATGGATACAAGACGTTGAAGCGCGTTGACATGTAATCCGCAACGGAGTTCAGCCGAATCTACGGTGACAGTGGACGCGGCGGACCATCGAGTTAGCAGAAGTCTGTTTGGCGGTGCTGGAGACAGCAAGCCACAAAGAAGGGGGACAAAAATAGCGAGAAGGCCTTGCCGATTGGATGCGTCTGATAGATTTACTAGAGCCTCCAGGATGTCAACCGCGGCGTTGAAACAATCGACCAGAGAGTTCTTCTTCACCTCAAGTTTGTCTGAAACCACTAACCCGGATGGCGTATCCCGAGTAGACAAATCGCAAATCCATTGGAATATCTGAAACCAAATCGATCAGAATACAGCATGGCAAGCTCTGTGTGTATCAGACATATTCACAGTACGAAAACATTGTGCTATACGTACGGATAAAGAGGTATGTCACCGAACAAAGTCATTCTCCGGTGTTTAGACAGCGGCAACCACAGGGTAAAATTACGCACCAGCGGTCAGCTAATTCCGAGTGAAGAATCGGGCCATAGGTGACAATACTGCTTGTGGCAAGGAATGGTACACCGTATCGGATAGATAACAAGTGTGATACTTTAATCTTAACCCCGGTCCACTTCAGACCGCCATATATATGAATGGCACCGAGTATACGCGAAACGGATTAATGTAGAAAGCAGTCAAGTAGCATAAACTCCAAAAACCGAGACATTGGAATCCGGATGTAAAGGCTAATGTGTAGAACCGACATTGCCTCGAGACGTGTAAGTACAAATGAGCTGGAGATGAATCTCATCTACATAAAATGGGTGGTTTAAAAACCTAGGAATATGGAAAAATTTGAGCGTCTCATTCATACCCAACAGACAAAGTGAAGTACCCTCGAATGGCATTAGTAAGCGGTGGGCAAACAGACACGCACTTGAGGAGTGATCGTTCGTGCGAAGAAAGTGTTCACTACCGGTTCCCGGTGATTCACCAATACCTCGATAGCAGAAAGACAAACCCGACGTTGCGTAAGCCCGCTGAGGGCTTTCCTGAACGGATTGTTGCAGCTTGAACTATTTGACAGAGGGGACACGGGATCCTTCTCTACACAGGAAGCCCCATGCGCACTATCGAAGATCGAAGGAGTCAGTAGCCCCGCAACTTCCCACAAATGACGGATTTGTAGCACCAATTGATTTCGAAGATCCTTTGAATTGAAAACCGCTACTGGGCATTCAGCAGCTATCCGACTCACCAAGGTTAACGAACGGAGACAGCAAGTAGAAAGTCCTACCTGTAAATGTGATTGATAAGAAGAAGAGCGACGTACATTAGGACGAAAACACTATGGAGCCACAGACTAAACTGTGAAGAAAATCAAGCAAGCGAATTCACGCTCTTTGATCGTTGGAACAGGGCTTTTGTCCAAGGGCCTGTGCGCTGCTAACAGTACAAAAACAGCAGAAGATAACCCTTAAAAAGGGTGTCAGTTATGCAATAAGATTGAATGATTTCATGACGTAATATATCCCAAAAACGATTGAGCGCTTGTTTAGGTACCTAGATGAGCACAGTCCGCTTTTGTTATGAAAACGCAATCACAATGGTTGTCGGCTGTCATGTGGAAGAACATCAAACGGAGGACTTCCTTAGGAGTCTTACTGTATCATACGAGACGTATTCATGCAACCGATAACTCAGTGTAGAGTTTAGAAGATGGCAGCCAAGGGTCGGAATCAGATAGTGCTTATCATAATGTCACAGCAGTTAACTGACCTTAAAATGCCTCGTGCACTCATCTCCATTACATTAATCGTGAAATGAGGAAGTGTGGAGACAGCGCAGTTATGTGGGATTGACTGAGAAGAAAATAACCAACCGCCTTTACAATACCTTGCTACATAGTAAAAAATTACGATGCAGACAAGTAGCGTCACTGCCATCTAAAATAGCATGTGTGTAATGTGTGCAACGGTCAATTTCCTCAGTTGCTTCAGCCAATGGATAGTGCTTAAACTGTTGCGAGTGTTATTTGCAATATGGATGCAGACTGTGAATGTGTTTGTGGCGCACCGAGACTACCACCACTTTTCCTAAATGGCGCAGAGATAGACCTGTGAAAAAGGTTAGCAGGTCAATCAGTTCGACCTTAGGTAAGCTACCTGGCATATCATCAGAACAACGAAGGTGCCTATCACTTGATGAACGCCGTGCAACGAGCAAAATGAAGCATTGGGCCCATAGTCAAATGAACAACTAACCATTTGTAAATCATTGTGTCTATGTCGCAGCAAGTCAAGTAGACTATTTGACACCAAGCCGTACCACTCGGAGGCGGCTGCTGAGGAACGCAGCAGCACCTGGTCCGTCGGTTGTGAGTGATGGCCTTGTCGAGCAACCTCTGAGCTCACTTCGTCCACTGACTGGGCGTTGGCAACGGAACAACGCTGGGTGCTGCTACTATCAGGGGTTGTGTCACTAACCATGTCGCTGTTTGCAGACCAACTGGATGTGGAACGCACTGGAGATCGTGTGCTAGCCAAAACAGGGTAGTGGTGGTTGGCCAATTGAACAGCCAAACGAACAATTACAGCAGCCAATTTAGACTGCTGGAAAGTCCAAGAAAGCAAGCGATCAACATGGAGTCGTCGTCTTCGTTGCTCTAGTTTCCGCTGACGAGCGGCAGAGGCAGAATGAGTGGAATTAGCTGTTGACGTGACATCGGTGTGAGCATCAATGTCGCACAAGTACAGAGCATAGGAGTCCATGCAATGTTGCTTGTTCACGGAGTCTGAAAGTTCCGTGTTTCGACATATAGCAGACTTGATGTTGTCAGTTGGTAGGGGAGAAGCAGGTGCGTATGGTTGAAGCAACACGACCTGAAAGAAACGTAATGGAAGATCAGGTTAAGGCCAGCGAATTCGCATTTTCGGGGAACAGTTAACGACAAACATGCAAATCCGTCGAGTTCGAAAAATGGTGTGCTGACAATGTTGCATCCGATGCATGTTGTAAAAGACACGAGTCGGCAATGGGGTATACAAATATCTGGGTGTCGGCATAAAACAGGATCTTCTCTAAGTAAATTACAGAAGTTCTCTACATCGGATCGACAGTAAGAAGCAGGCTATAGAGCAGGTTACGCAATGACAAAGATAATAGTGGGTAGACGAAAGGTAAAATATGGTGGGGTGCGAAATGATGGTTAAATGAGAAGAAAAGGCCAAGATGCAGAGGCAACAAATTCGTCAGTTTCATAAGACTCAATCGAGAAAGCGATAATCTGGCGAACGGATTCACATGCCAGTAAATCAAAAGATATACCAATAATGAGTTTTGGCTATAGCACATCATATCAGTTGCAGCGAGACAGAATCGTATCGTGGTGTGATAATTTGCGTGCATCAGCGACCCAATGAGCTATACTGGGTGGTGCTTTTGCACCTCCAGAGCCAATCATAACACAGTGGTCAATGGTTAGAGGTCAGACAGATTCAATCTCTTGGTTATCCAAGTTAGGAGTTGGAGTGAAGGTAGCTTCCTATTCCTTAAATGGACTTTAGACCACAGCAAAACTCCCGAAGTCTTGTGGTCAGGTTTTTACTATCGAATGCTTTAGTTGAGAACTCTAATAGTTCTTCTGCCTAGTTCTGGGCAACGTGACATTATCCTGTCCACGTAATAGAGAGACCACTTTAAACGAGTTTGGATGCCTTTGCAGTCGTCAGTAACTTCTCGAACAGTTAAAGGACGATTTCCACGGAAAAAAGCGCAAACTCTCGACATGGTCATCGTCAGCTGACGAGGAAGGTCGTCCAGGCTTGGAATCGTCATCGACAGACACTCCGCTGTGATCAACACATTTGAACCCCTAGTAGCACTGCGTGTGACTCATACAGTCATCCCCAAATGATTAGCTGAACAAATGAAATGATTTCCCACTTTACAGCAAGAGATTACACATACATTGTACATCAATCTCTTTCATTGTCATCTTGACTATATATATGGGGGTCAATGTAAAGTTTCGAGCATGATACAGGAAGCAAATAGCCAGGTAAGCCAAATTAAGTAGCTTACAGTCTATCACTTCTCCTTACTCTTTTACTTTCATCGCAACAGATTTTTGAAGTGAACAGGGTTTGCGATTTGGTGGAAGTGGGGAAATTGGAGCATCGTGCAGCGACGAAATATTTCAACCTCAAAGGAATGTCACCACCTGAAATCCACTACGATATGCTCAATACAATGCATGACAATACCCCTTCATATGTCACAGTTAGACCATGGGTACAAGAGGAAGAGTATTGAAGAGGAGCGCAGGTCAAAGAGACCATCAGCAGCCACGACCAAGGACAACTTTGATCTATCAGTGGATAGGAGATTGCAAGATCGCCGACTAACAACTCGCCAGATAGCAGATAGATTAGGCATCTCGCAGGAGCGAGCAGATAATACACTGAAAGAGTTACGCTACTCAAAAGTTTCTTCCCGATAAATGCCACTTCTTCTGACTCCTGAGCAGAAGCGCATTCGGCATGTGATGTCAAAGAACAATTTAGAACTGTTAAAGCAGATGCCGATAAGTTTCTTGCACGGTTCCTCACTATGGACGAATGATGGGGTTACCACTTTTAAAGGTAAAGAACAATCAAACCAATGTAAGGGTGAATTATCTGTGTCAAACAAAGCCATGGTTACGCCGTCACCTGGCAAAATGATGGGATATGTTTTTGGATTCCCGAAGTGGGATGATGGTTGATTTCCATGAAAGAGGTGATACAATCACTGGAAAGTATTACTGTGAGCTACAGAAACCTCGCAGACAAAATATTCGAGAAAAGAGACCAGTAGTATTGACGAGAGGAGTCATTTTCCACAGTTATAAAGCTCCAGCTCAGAGCTCATCCACTGCTCAGAAAACAATCCATGATTGCGGCTTCGAGCTTTTTTCTCACCCACCCTATTCACCACAGCTGTTTCGCTCTGACTAACATGAATTTCCGAACTTCAGCTGGCAACCATTTTCTCAACTACAGTGACCTCATTGAGGCCGAAGAAGTGTTCTTAGGGTCACAAACTGAAGAGTTCCTTTCCACCGGGAAAAATGGTGCTTGAGCACCGCTGGAACAAGTGGGTCGCTCTTGAGGAGGATCAAGTTGAAAAGCAAAAGCATCGAAGAATCAGCATAGTGTTTGGTTTGTTGAGGCCCGAAACTTGTCATTAACTCTCTCTCTCTCTCTCTCTCTCTCTCTATATATATATATATATATATATATATATATATATATATATATATATATATATATATATATGTATCAATTGACACCAGCCTACGTATAAAAGCCGGTGAGTATACGGTGCTGCGAAACTAAAGAGAGTAGGCCTCAAGGCCCGGGAGAACACGATGAATCAACCAGACAGATATAAAGCGGTGTTCAAGTGCTCCGATCGAGTTAGGCATGTAACCGAAAAATATTCACCACAGTATAGCGAAGGCAGTCTGTATATACGCAGATCCGTAGCATTGATGTGAGAGATATAGCGAGTGTCAACGCTTAGGTGCGTTGAAGGTCAGATGCTCGTATGGCAAGACGCATCCCACTATAACATTTCTCAACTGATTGCATCCTTAACATAATTGCTTCCATCCGTAATACAGCAGCTTGTATCCTTAGCGCAAAAGCATAAGCTGATAGTCACGAAAATTGCATCTACGATGCCCCGAGTGGTAAACTGCTATCAGTCAACAGGATTCGGACAATATACCAGTATGGCTGTTTAAACTAGACGCAGCTGGGACATAGAGCCATCGGCTGATGTACTGCTGCCCAAATCTCATCCATCCACCAGCCTAGGTGCGCACCAACACTGGACAACAAGGGGAGTGGAAGTAATGGCTTGTTCACGAATTTGCTCCAAACTCCAAGACCTTGGGACGGAATCAGGCCACCTGGTTTGATCGAGCCCGTCGTGAATGAATCAAAACGGTCTCACAAAGAGGGCTTGAACAAGCAGGCGAGATGTCCGTTTGAGACGAGGGAACAAGTGAGGCACGGACGGCCAAAGTAAACTATGTTGACTTGGTATACAACAAGTGACAATAATGTTCACTCCGGTCATCCGTGCCTCACGTCCTCTCGCCTCAAAGGGACACCACGTTGTCTCTCAAACCCTCTTCGTGAGACTGTATTTACTCATTCACAACGGGTTCGATCTAGCCAGGGGGCGTGAACGTGTCCCGGACATGTTCACTGATATGTCTGCGTTCGTGCGGAACTGTCCTGACTTCGCCACACCTTCACATCCCAGGCCTTGGGGTTCGGAGTCGATTCGTGAGCAAGCCCATGCTTCCACGCTAATTATTGCCCAATTCTCGTTCGTACCTAGACAAGTGAATGACTGAAATCCGTCTAGCAAGGCATCAACCGATGGCTCTGTGTCCCAGCTGCGTCAAAGTTAAACAACCATGACGACATATTATCCGAATGCTTTTGGCTGATAGCAATTGACCAGAGTGCATCGTGGATGCAATTTCCGCGATCATCGGATTATATTTTTTACGCTAAGGATTAGAGCTGCTGTACTACAAGATGAAAGCGGTTGCGTTAAGGATGCAATCAATTGAGAAACAGTACAATTAATAATAAACACGTGTAGCTGACTTCGCATACGGAAACTGTAGTGTAGTAAGCCGATGCGTAGTTCATACTGAAGTTAAAGTGCGCCATGAATGTCGATGGGGTGCACAAAATGAGGAGAGATCCCCAGTGTGGCCGAAATACACCGAAGTAAATGAAGTCACGGCGAGGGTTCACCCTGATAGAAGAGAACATATGAAGAACGAGGGTTGGGGAGGCAAACAAACCTGGGAAATCCTGACGAAGCAGTCGAGCAACACAACGAGCAAATTATCCGCAAATTTGGAGCTTGTGTCGCAACTTCCTGGGACAGATCCAGTCTCTGCAGTGGCGCTTGACAAACTCAGACTGCTGAGCAAAACATGCGGAGCACACAGGTCTGGGAGGGATAGAAGGCATCGCAAAGCAGCGGCCAGTACATTGGGTGCATCCGTACCATTGGCACATCGAGCTTCGGGCAAGAGGTGGTTGCAGGCTAGAAACCGAAAACCAAAGCAAGAGCACGGTAAATACGCTACGGATACACAGTAGAGGCGTCGAGATAAGCAGCATTGTATCCAAGAACAGAATGAACACGCGATACATCAGTGCAATGCTAGTCTCCCTTAAAAGGCAAATGAAACGTTGAAAAGTAAGAGCGGAAAAGAAATAGTAATCGTTGAGAGGGAACATTGTAGAGTCATAGTTAATGAAAAAAGACATCGGAATGCTAAGTAAACCACTACCGAAGAGAACAGTTTTGATGCACTGACCTGCAGAAGGTCCAACCATGCGCAACTCAGTCAACATTTCAGGACAGTAGCGGGCGAAGACGCATACCAAAATTTCCAAGCTAGCAAACACGACGGAGTACCTCGGATGCAATCCTTTCTCTCCGGGATGTTGGGATTCCACTGGTTGTTTAAGTTCAAAGGCAAGAGAACCACCTTCAGCCAGTTCGAACATTTGGGCATCCACCAGACTGGTAGTTTGTGCGGTACTAGATGACGTGTTCGTTAGCGCCGTTTTGGAACTAGTGTCTGAAGTCAGAAGAAGCCTCGAGTCGCATGTAGATGAATCTGACGGTACAAAGATGTACGCAAAGATGAGCAAATAGGACATGAATTCATAGGGCGATTGACTGAGACGAGATGGCTAACAGAGGCGGTGACTAATCCGGTCGTATCAGACACGAAGACTGAGTGAAAACACTGCTATGTGTACGCATCAATGCTCCGCTGCTGTGTATACGCAGTTCAACATACCATTTTCATCATCAGCAGTATTGAATACTTAAACAAGAAAAACAGTAGAATCTTTGGCGAGCAGAGGAATGAAAACGACATTAGTACGCCCAAATGCGGTTAACAGTTCTGACCAGGACTACAGACACAAATGTTTGTGAAGTAGGATAGACCGTTCTGTACGGAACTCGTTCAAAAAGATGGACCCGAATGTAGAACCCATAGCAGTAACGGCTCAACAGCCTGGTTCAGGATATCGCTGGCATCAAAGTGCGAGGCACAAATGCAGTGCACGATAAGCGAATGACCGCCAGAGAAGGTATCAAATGAAATCCAGCACTTAACGACGACACACTAATGCTGGTTCATGTCCGTCATGCAAAAGCTAGTGGTTACAAGTAGATCGGGATACTACTGGGGTATCGAAATCAACCTAGGAACGATGACTCGAACGAGGGGGTTGCAAACAAGACCCCCCCCCCCCAAACACAACAATCACATCATAGACCCAACTGAAACTGTAGAATCGGTCCACTTATGTGTGCACTTGTAACATCTCTGGTGAGCAAACGGTCTAATAGGGGACCGTACTTATCAGTAAGGCGTACTTCGCTGTTCGGAAGCTCAATCATCTTAATGAGCAACGGTATGATATTAAAGCACGAAATGAACAACTTTGTTTCATCCATTTCACTGTAAGGAGGAGGAACATGGTCAACAAGCTGGTTCTGCTCCCCAGCGCATGTGTGGCATCGTTCATGTCTGATGAGAACACCGAACTAGTAATCGTGGGATTCTACAATTGCGGTTTAGAAGTAATGCACATGGTGTTACATCTAACTTTTGGTTAAAGTTGAGCCGTCGACCTTGAGGGCATTTAGTCTCTAGAAAGCTTGCAGCTGCCTGTCCAAACACGTGTTGTTCATTGACACAAAATTCAACTGAGTGAAATCCCAAGGTAATCAGTCGGTGGATAGTCATGACGGAATGGACTAGTATGTGTCAGCTACCTGGATGACAACCTGAAATCGTACGCGCAGGTGAAGAGACAAACTATTGAAACAGGGTCCAGTCGCGTACGCTGTCGGCTAACTACTGACAATTCTATGTGATTACAATGTGTTCAAATTAATATTTTTCCGTTTGGATTTTCGTCCCCAGTACATGTCTTGCTATCATGAAAATATGCGACAGCAGATTACGATGATCAGACTATTTTTGCTCAACTGGATCAAACCGAGCGGGAAATGCTATAACTCAGTCGCACGGGATACCGATCCGTAGCTATCAAGAGGCGATGCGCGGGATTCCAAGTGAAGGCATGGCGGCACAGGCGATACTAATGCTTGAATAGCGTTACACGTGGAGATACGGTGGTGAACAAAGGCCGGTCAGAAGGGGCCCAATTCTTGAATCGGTAACCACCCCGGAACCTGAGTGAATTCGGACCGAATAATGAGGAGTACTTGGTGCATTTCGGAATGGAAAGTATGCGGAAGATAGTTCCTGATGGAAGAAGGACAGTGCTAACGTATATCGAAATAGTAAAGATCCAATTGGAAGTGGTTGAAACGATAATGAAATGTAAACTCGATTTAGAAGCCGCTAGAATCGCAGTAGACGTGCGAAATGCCGAAAATACATCCCACTAGTTGTTTCCAAGCTAGCGCAACCCAGTGGTTAACCGTGCAGAAAACAACAGTCAGACAACGCACAAGAAACTTACTTTCTGACAGCCATATCTCGCGTTGCTTTACCAAACGCTCTTCAGCGCCTTGCAACACTTGTTTGACGATGCTCAAGCATAAAAGATGCGTGTCGATGTGGTCCACAGTGAGTAGCACACTGTGGAGAAATAAAATGGACACGTGGTGGGTGGCAGGCAAACCGGACAACTAACGCTATTTGTGATAGAGTGTGATGGTGGCACAGAGTGAGTAAACAATTAGAGGTAATTCTTGGGTAGGAATACGTGTGGATTTGAACGTACAATACGCGTACACATGCACGTGGGGTGAAATGAAATGCTTGTGAGCTTAGTAGGTCACCTGGTGAAATCAAGTCATGGAAAAAGTATGCTGCTACGACAGTCAGAAGAATGTGTAAACTAGGGAATATAGTCAGATTTAAAACATATAAAAGCGGTAGCTAAGATTAGGTTTCAGAAGAATAGCAGCAAATGACACTGAGCTGAGCTACAACTGAAAAAGAAGCTTCATGCAGGATTTTCCCTTCATAAAATTCAAAATAGCAAGAAGAAAAACATTTTAACAGGATATGTTGAAGTCAGGTATTTCGAGTATTCTCGTCAGTTGTTTACACACATTGGTGAAATTATCGCGTTGCGTACAAAAGGTGAGGCCATGTACATGGTCATTCAGTTCAAAGGAAAACGATGAATAACCTCACCAAGTTAGGGCGAGGCTGGCCGTACTTTCAGTCTGCTTGCACAAATTAGGCTTAAACCACCGAATAGCTGAGGCCTCGGCAAACTGAAACAATTGGGCATTCCTCTGTAGGTTAATAACTTTAAACAAATCACGAGGACGTTGGCACATTGTGCGATAGAGGGCGTGTTGAGCAATACATTGGCCGAACTGAGAGGAGGCTTTCCACTAGGATTTCAGAGCACATTGCACGAAATGTGGTCGATAACAGTCTCAAACTGTCGGATAGCTCTATTGCTCAACAAGTCCTGGATTGTACAATATATCAACGTCTTCATGATTTGTTTAAAGTAATTAACCTACAGAGGAATGCCCAACTGTTTTAGTTTGCCGAGGCCTCAGCTATTCGGTGGTTTAAGCCTAATTTGTGCAAGCAGACTGAAATTACGGCCAGCCTCGCCCTAACTTGGTGAGGTTATTCATCGTTTTCCTTTGAACTGAATGACCATGTACATTGCCTCACCTTTTGTACGCAACGCGATAATTTCACCAATGTGTGTAAACAACTGACGAGAAGACTCGAAATACCGGAATTCAGTGTATCCAGTTAAAATGCTTTTTCTTCTTGCTATTCTGAAAAGGAAGCATTTATCCAGCCCGGTTTGCCTCGTAAATGCGTATGTGGAGTGAGATGTTATAAAAGGATGCAAGGTCGTGGACGCGTATGCAAATACACATTGCTCTAATGGCTGTGGGATACAATTAGAAGCAATGTAGCCGAAAAGGAATAAGAGGGTATGAAACAAGCACAGGTTGAACGCAAGAGAACCGAGCACACACTGAAGGTTCTTAAGCTGGCATTTTGAACAGACGTTCTACATCGATGTAGGAGCTAACTGGAGCTGCTGGAAGGTGGAAAGGGAGAACTCACCGATATAAGATATGAAGTAGTTCGACGGGAACTTTCGGGTACTGGCACATCAACGCTGCTCGGCAGGCGGAGTGACGAAGAAGACAATACACCGCTTCTAGACAAGTGTTGACTAGTCCGAAGGACTGCTTCGCTCCAGCGTCACATATTGTGTTAACACAAATGCCTAAAAAAGGGAGCCATTGGATTCGATGTACACAGGTGGAATACATGCACAAAAGCATTTGTGGAAGAAAGTGAGCATGCCGTACCAAGAATAAGACTGAAGTCACGTCTCAATGTGCGCGCGTCCGAATCCCCTTCGTCCAAGGCATTGTGATCACTTAGCTCATTTTGAATCCACATAGATGCAGCCAGCGATACCGCGGGCCAATGCTGCATGTAATATGGTCGCACACGGTCGACAATCGAGTCGTGACCGTAGAAGATGCCTCCGGTGACCGGACGTTCGGCAGACAACTCGTCGGGTAAACTGAGCATGGCGTAGTCCTGCAAAATGGCAATCCAAGCTTTTGATAACGTGGGGAGCAAGGGGCGCACCAAATGCGATAGAAGCAGGTAGGTGCGGCGCGGCCAGCTGCTGTCGCAAATGTGCGATTCAGAAGCAGATACTATTGGAGAGATGAGAGAAGAAGGACGGTGACTAAGTGCCGCTAGTGAATCATGTCATCCAAAAAAACGTAGCAAGCAGCACATGTAAAAATCTATTTCAATGTCTAAACACATTAGTGATATGAAGAACTGCGAAGAATGGTGCTCTGGGTTAAAAATAATGAATGAGTTTCTTAAGTCGAAAAAGGAGATGTCCGTCAGCTGGTTACCAGTATCAGTGAGCCGAGTGCGGGAAATTCAAAATGCGCATTTTAACAGAGTTGTCTTGCATGTGAACGCAAGTAGGTATTTCAATTAGTGAGTGACCTAGTGGGGATAAAGAATCACTGGATCTGAAAACAGATAGGGTCCTGTTGACCCCACAATGCCGAAAAAAGACTCGGCATTTGTCATTCTCCGAGAAAGGCCACCACAAAGTCAATATCTGCGATTGCCGTCATAATTCTTCATGTGTGATACAAGGCTGCGGAGTTAAAACAATCAAAAGTACAATGGTGAAGTCAAGATGGTCCTATCAAGCAGACCACTCAAGCAAAATGAGTAGATTGGTCCGGTTACAAGAAGAAAAAGGAGGGCATAAGCAGTAGCCGCATCGTTCCGCAAACACGCGACTAACACCAGTCGCGCACGGGCTAGAGATACTAAGATGTCGCCCACATATTTACAGATTCATACATTTCTTCAGACACTCGCATGATCACCAAGTGAAGTGCTGATCTGAAACACACTTCAGATGTAGTGAAGACTATTCTATGTAATGAACAAACTTGGTGAAGAGGACTGTCTGAAGCAAAGGAAAGAAGTAGATGATTGCCAAGTGGTAGAAAGATGAGTTTTCTAAGAGGGAAGTTAGGGGCCAAGATAAGAAGTCAATTCTTTCACAATAATACACAGATTGCAAAAAAATGGTCCTACCAGTGTCAAGATCGTCATCAGACTCCCCAGGTTCGCCAGCGGAAAACTGATCTTCTTGATCATCGGCGCATCGTTCCGCACTGGCGTCTGCGTCCTCCTTATCAACATCTGGCAGCTTTGCCACATTTCGGGAGTAAGAGAAGCGTATTGCACTAGTGTATACATCAGCCCAGGCCCGAAGAACGGCCAGTTTCTCCATGGTCATTGCGTCGGAACAATAGAGTTGATAGGAGGATTTCGACTCCTGTGGCTGTTTCGCACGACGTGAACAGGTGGAGAAATCCACTTCACTCAGCCGTAGATTATCGAACGCCAGACGCAGTAGTTCATGCACGCGTCGCAAATTCTGTGCATCCCGGGCAACACCAGAGCCAATCCAAGTGCTGCATACTAGGCAGGCAACCGAAGTGAGTTGAGGATGTAGTGCAAGAGTGCAGTCACTTGCAGTGCCTGTAGCAGACTGTGGAATACTTGCAACAGACGACAAAGAGGTAGTAGACGATACAAAAGCGGGTA